CATGGAATACTATAAAATTTACAACGCACATTGAAGGAAAAAAATATTTAAAAAGTAAAAAATATTTACTTGTAGGTAATAATAACATATACATTTACCTATACTAATTTACCTATATAAAATATTTCTCAACGAAAAAATATAAATTTTTCTTTTCTTCACAGTTGAGCTTGTCATGAAAGCCTATTGTGTCTTCTATTTAAATAAGAGATATAAAAAGAATTAAAAAAAAGAATTAAATAATCTTCTTATATTAATTCTTATAAATAGAAAAAATAAGAAAAATTAAATATTCTATTTAAATAAGAATTCAGATTTTTAAGTAAATATACATTATATGTATTATAGAACTCATCATATAAGTATCTTTTATTTTCTAGATATTTCCTCTCTCAAGCGTATAAAATGCTACCCTCGTATGAAATAGAGGCTGCTCCTGCTGCTCACAAGCAAAAGTGCGGAGTCGAAAAAGCACTTTACCTTCGAAAAGCTCTGCTTTCCCGTCTGCATTGACGGAGATATCTGCTTTTACGAATATTAAACATCCCTAAAATCATTGACGCTCTCTTCCTAGATCACCCAGTGACGGCAAACAACTTTATAGCCTTCGTAAAAGACGACGAAAGAGTATCGAAAAATACAATTCGCCCGAGTCAAAGACAAAATAGTTCGCTACTTTAACTTCATTACGCAAGTTTTAATCCATTCACGAAGTGCAACGAGGGTAGGTACACCCGAGTTGCCGGCATTTTCGCTAGGTAGCCGACGGAAGTTACCGTCGTAAAGTTGCTCCCGATTCCTTATTGCAACCTCGGTGTCAAAAGGAGGGATATACGGGGCTCCGCCATGCACGCGCGTTTATGTGCACCCACGCATCTGCATGCATCTTGTTTATTCATTAGGTTTTCCGTCAGCCACGAATATCGGAGATACCGCCATCGCCAAGTATAGCACTCCGTTGACTTCATAATAATTCCAGCCGCGTGCTCGCGAACGCAACCACGCCGTGTCTCGGCGAGCGCGTATTTCGTGTCTCTCTCGCTTTCCTCACTTTCGGATTACGAGAGGATTGCGTTCGCGCGAACTGAAATCCCGTCTTGACTCCGGTCTTGCATGAATAAAGAGTTCAGTCTAGTTTCGTCTTTTTTCCATGGGATCTCGTAAAACTTTGAATATTCCAGTAAAAGACAAATCGATGTGAAGTTTAGGACGAGTAGATATAGACATAGACATTTCGCTCCTTTTTCAAAAACTTTGAATATTCCAATTAATAATACGCCTATTTAAAGCTTATACCGAGTAGATCAAGAAATCTCGATATTGTTCTCGCGTTTGTAGTCGCGCGTTTCGGAGATGAACAATCCAAAAGGTTGCAATCTCAACAAACAGCCATTGAGATTGCAAACTTTTGGACCATTTACCATATTTATCTTCCGAATAATTACGAGAAAGATATCGAGACTTTGTATTCTTAATCTAGCACAAGCTTCAAATCATTGATTGGAATGGTCAAAATTTTGAAAAAGGGGCGAAGTGACTACGGGCACTTGACTGCACTCTTTCCGCTTCGCCGCGCACTGTTGCGCGAACGTTTGTACCATGCACTAATGATTAATTTGTGCGTAATTTAAAACCATGCCGCTGTGTGCCAAGCACGTCACACGAATTCCGCGTTCCGTAATCGCGGTTTTTCGAATCGTTTATGATCGGAAATCGATTTGATTAAATGACTACTCTTAGACAAAGGAGGGCAGAGAGAGCGTGTGTATCTATGTATCCGTGTGCACGCGATAACTTCCACGCGAAACGATGACAATAATAACAGAAACCGTACTGAAACAATAATGAACACGGGCTACGTAAAGTATGCAGACAGTAAAAGTAAATATGTAATCGCGCACCTGACATCCAGCACGCCAGTTGCAGTCACGATAACAATTATAAGTAGAATCCTTATAAATCATGTAGCTGACAACTGATCAGTGTTAATTGAGAGGAACGAGAATAAAACCTTCATTAATTTATATCCATAAACCTCAAGCGCATGTATGAAATCAATTCTGGCATCGTGTTCGCGAGGAAATGCCAAATCGCAAAATTAATCAATAGAGTATATACAATACAAGATGTTTACCGTAACGGTATTCACTATTTTATCTTCACTATTGTATGTTCTAACGTAAAGTGTAAACAGATGTGTGTGTATAGAATTGTTTTGTAGAGCAGAAGAAGATAATTGTTTTGTAAAGCAAGTCCATTTCTTGGCATTGTGTATGTATGTATGTGTATGTATATAGCTGAAGTAATAAATATCTATCTGCCTAACATTGTTCATTACATTATATTCTAAACATTATATATATATATATATATATATATATATATATATATATATCGCATGTTCTATCATGTTCATATTTTTACTGTTAATTGTTAGCAAAAATAATATCATAAGTTACTGTTGAATTTCTTTCAATTCTTTTTAGAATACTAAAAAAGGTAAAAAAGATGATTCCATTTGAAAAAAAAACAGCAAAACAAATTTTCGTTTTTTGAAAAAAAAAATCTTCGAAATTTTTATTATTGTCGTTTAAAAGCTGATTAATTGCATCTAAAACTTTTTCTACCCGATTCATTGTAATTAAAAAATAATAAAAAAAATAGTGGAACCGTTACAATGAATATATCTTGTATATATACAAAAAGGTCAGATAAAACCGAATTCCTATTGAATTCTTAACGTTTCGATAGTGTCACAGAATAGTGTCATTGAAATTTTACATGCTAACAATCGTCGATGCTTTAGTCATAAAATAAATAAAAGGTCAATAAAAGTCAAACGCAGATTACAAGCTGGGCAAAAATTTTCTTTTAGTAAAATTAATTTCCGCAATTTACGATCTACGTTTGACTTTTAGTGGCGCATTTAATTTATGATCGTATGTCAAAGAGAGCCTTTTATAATCGTTCAATTCACGTAGAATTTAATTCTCGTAATTATCGTGCGGACACGCATAACACGATCGAAGGAATTCTCGTCCGATATAAATGTGAACAATAAAATATCCTTCCTCGACATTCAACCAAGCTTTCAATGCAGATATGATTAAAATGTGCAAGTCGAAAGTTCAGGTACGACTTTAAAATGCGAACAATGGGAACAATGGGCCTTCTTGCGCATATTCATTAAGCGCCGCCAATTTAATGGAACGCGCATCTTTCCGCTCGTAAAAGGCTTTTACGCGAATGATAATTTTCAAAAAAAATAAAGAAGAAAGGAAACGTACGTGATGCATAACGCGACGAGAGCGTGACGTCGCGCTTCCATTATCGCACGGAGAAATATGGCGAATCGATCGAATTTTACAATCGTGAGATATGAAACAGTGGCCTTAAAGTAGTAACTGCGCGCAAACAAACTGCGCCATAAAGATCATTGCTGGTGCCTCGACACACTCCGCAACGCTAATATAAAAGATGATCGGCTGCACATAATATTCCCCAACGAAATCGAAAAATAAATCCTGATAAACTCTTTATAACAACTGAGATAACTCGTTTCTCGTTTTTCTCGTTTATCTTTTATCTTTGTAATGCTTCTTAGCACCGAATCCCTGTGTTTGTAGCTTCAATCAGAAACAATCGCGTTGGCGCACGCTCTCTTGTGTTAAAACTAGGTTGCTAAACGCTTTCACGAAATTACACCGAGAGAAAAACTACCTAAAAAATATAAAATATTTATTCGGTGAACACTAGTAACACCAGGGCTGCTGGTAGTAATCAATCACTTTTTAATTAAATGTCGTATTTATAATGGACGATTAATATGAGCCAATTCAATTGAAGGTCGTTTAATTGACAATTGATGTCAGTAGATCCAACTGAAATCCGTTTGATTGACGATTCGTTTCAACGAATTCAATTAAAAACCTTTCAACTAACGATTGATATGTGTAAAAGGAATCAAAGATCGTTCAATTAACAATTGAACTTAGCAAATTTAATTAAAGACCATTTAACTGACAATTAAACTTGGCAAATTAAAGGTCTTTAATTAAATTTGTTAAGTTCAATCGTCAATCTAATGGCCTACAATTAGATTTGCTACGTTCAATTGTTAATTGAACGATCATTGATTCCTTTTACATATATCAATCGTTAGTTGAAAGGTTTTTAATTGAATTCGTTGAAATTAATCATCAATTGAAAAGTCTTTCATTGAATTCGTTGAAATCAATCATCAATGAAACTTTTTTCCATTGATTTTGCTCGGATCGTCAATTAGTTAAATCAAAACATATTTGTTCGAATCAATGATTAAATTGAGATAAATTTAATTGATTTTTTTTTTATAAGTTTGCTAATAACATATTTATTTACATATTCTCTTTCTCTTATAAAAATATATATTTTTCCACTAGAAAAAATATTTTTCAAATAAGGAAATATACATTTTCTTAAAATCTTAGCTTTTCATGAAAGCAATTGTTCATTCTATTTGAAAAATAGAATTAGATTTAAATAAATATATTACTGGCATATAGATATTTTTTATTTTTTAAGTAATCTTTTTTTCTCAGTTACGATTTGTTCTCCGCGATTTTCGATCGTCTAATGTGTTTTCAATTAAATAAATTTGTTCAAACCGCAACGATCAAAGGCGGCGATCGCGACAACGTGACGATTATAAAAAATCTCGAAAGAATCTAGCCGCTCAAAAGCGCCGAAGTTGTATCACGCGGACAACTTTTCCCATTAGCAGCCAAGGAGAAGAGCGGACGAAGACGTAAGAAATCTCACTTTCCCATTCAATTTCGCTTTTTCCTTCCGGTAATGTAATACGTGTCAACGGGTTGATCGCGTCCGCGGCTACAGGAGACTCGCAACCCACAGCCGATAGGACATTACGGACATTCGCGCAGGCGTCGTTGGCGCGAGGCCTTTTCGCCGCGAAGCGGAGACAAGTCCAGGTGGGAATTCCGCGAGAGACCAAGAGAGGGTGAGCGAGCGGCAGTCGGCGCCGAGCCACCCTCGCGCGATCCCGCGCGCGTTCCAGTCCCGAAACAATCGGCCGCGATACAGGAATCCACGACGAGCGCGATCTCGCAAGATGATCCTCGTGCGCGACCCTAGATCGACTGTAACGTAAGAAGGCGAGTGCGTCCGCGAAGAAGTCGATTACATCGCGACTGAAATTCGCCCGGCACCGGGACGGAAGCACGATACGGACATTTACGAATTCCACGAAAGAATCCATGTGGTCACAGCATGGCCATCATGCAGTCCTGTTGCTGTTGGCATTCCGTACGGAGAGGCAGTTTTGCATGTGCAATTTACACTGGAGTAAGTATCGCAGTTTAATGGCGAGTGCGCTTACGCGAACCGTTGACAGTGGAATTGAACCGAAATCACACAAGTCGAAAATCGAATATTAGGTGAACCTTCCACGTACGTTAAATCTATCGTGCCCATTAAGCTCGACGAAACGTGAATTCTAATTTTCCTACTAATATTCATAAATTTTCATATGTGACTGTTCACGTATCTACACACAGAAAAATATATACTACATTTAAGGAAATGTTTTAAGATGTTTCATACAAGTTTATATATTTGCAAATCTATCATACGACATACATGATAAAATCATCATAAACATCAAATTTGTACAAAATACATTCTGAACCCTAGTAGATTTAGCGTTTTAATCAAAAATATTAAATTCAAAAGAAAAATTTAGTTTGCTTACATGTTTATTTGCTTACTAGAATTAAACCAACTGTTAAATAACTGTTAAACCGAATAAATTCTTCTTTTGAATACATTACAAGACAATTATTACTTAAAACAAAGGAAAATAAATTGAGTAATCGCTTTTCTTGGCAGTAAAATGATATTTTTCTGTGTGTTTATTTTGGCACGAAACGAAATTTATAACAAGATTATCTTTAAACATTTTACACGTACAAATTTTTAAGAAAAAAAGAGAAGAATTGAGCCGAAACCACAAGTAAAGTTAAATATTAGGTAAATTATGCGTGACAAGAACAATTTAGGTCGACGGGATGTGAACTCTCTCTAATTTTCCTATTTATATTTTTGAGTTTTACATTTAACTATTTACATGTTTATTTATTTTTTGCACGAAACGAAGTTTATCTTTAAACATTTTACTCGTATCGATTTTTACCGCTGAAAGTGGAATTGACAGAAACCACGAATAAAATTGGATATTGGGAGATCTGCCATGTACATCATTTATATATAACACGCGAATTTAACTTGTGACGGGACGTAAATTCTAATTTTCCTATCAATATTTTTAAGTTTTATGTGTGACAGTTCACGCATCTATCTATTTTGGGACAGAACAAAATTTGTTTCAAGTTCAAAGAATTTTTTGAAATTTTACACGTATCGATTTTCACATGTATTTAGTTTCAAATGGATATGAAACTTCAGCTCTTGCACTATTAAACCTCGCTCTTTACGAAAAGAGAACAATTTGGTTGAATTAACGTGACAATTAATGAAACGCATTTTGTTTGAAGAAAAAGAATTCTCATTAATTAAATTCGCTTCTAACAAACGGAAATTCTCTTTCCTTCAACAAAAAGACGTTTGGTTCGTCCATTGTCACGTTAATTCAACCGAATTATTATTTCTTTTTCGTATAAAGAGCGAAGTTTAAAACTGCAAGATCTCAAGTTTCGTGTCATTTGTAGCTAAATACGCGTAAAAACGGCACATGTAAGATGAGACAGCACGTTGAAAAGCTCTTTAAACTTAAAATGCGCATAGTAAAGAGCAGCGACAATAGCAAATAATTGTCATAAGATAGCAGATTATTACATCAAATAAAAAAAGGTAAAAAAAAGAAGACTCTTTAATGTGTAAAAAAGGGAGACGTTCTAATGTGGAGAAATGACAATTTTTGTTACTACTTACTAAATGGGTTATGCGTGTTTGATAAACGAACAGAGATAGATACGCGTACGCTCAATGCTCGACTCCACCACTTTTAGCACACTGTCATGCGAGAAGTAGTAGTGTGAGTCAATATCGGAGCGTACGCTTTAGAAAGCGTAACGCTCGATTAAACTGTGGCGTGTCAAATAACGTTCAATATTCTCCTCCTCGTGCGAGCATGTGAAAATATAAAAAACATGTAAAAATGTACGAAGGATCCAAGGATCCTGGAAATGCGTCCAACCGCACGCATGTTGAGAAGTAAATCGTCACGCAAGCACATATGCGCATTTCGTAATATAATTATGTAACAGAAATTACGTAAATGCTCTAACGTGCGACATACGCGCCAAGCCGCCCATAAATCAAATTTAATGAGACCGTTGATTGAACGCAACGAAAAGTGTTTAGAAAAAACGGCGAAATCGACTGGTGGCTTTCGTGCGGTTGATGCTAAGCGACAGTTTGCCCAACATCTTTAACAGCATATACTGTTACGCTTGATGCGGTAAAGCATCACCGCGTAAGTACCGCTTTAAAACTTACCTTGTTAGTTACCTTATTAGTAATGAGAACGTCTACGATTTAATAGACGCATTCTTAGCAATAGAATTTTCGTCAGGTGTGAAAAAAGTGCTTGGGAGATATCATAAAACTATCTCCGACACGTTTCTCTTAATATTCATCCTAAATCTTGCTTCATTTTTTTTTATTTTCGCGTTATTTTACCAACACTTTATCTAACAACATTGTACACGGAAAAAAAAGAAATATTTAAACTGTGAAAAATGATATGTTAAATTTAACACATTTCACATGTCCTAATTTATCCACTCTAATTTTTGTGTTAATTTAACATAAGACAAGTGTGTGAACAAGTAACGCAAATAATGCGTCAAAAATCGACACAAAGGTGTTACACTTAGACACTATTGTGTTGTATGAACACTTAGAAATGGTGAATATATGAACTCAATGCAAATAATCAAAGTAACACAAGGACATTATGTTAAATTAACACACGGGTATGTAAAAAATTTAACATAAAAGTTTTCATTTGATTTCAACACAAATGCAAAATATTTTTGTATCGTGTAAGAAACAAAACACATTTACTCTAGCTTTCAATAACATGTTTGCTTATACCGACATAAAATACAAATATTTTTCAAATAAGCAAAATACACAATTACCTAAAACCTTAAGAAAACCTTTGCTTTTCACGAAAGCGATCGTTTATTCTATTCAAATAAAAGAATTTAGATTTAAATGAATATGTTATTATAGTATACACCGAATAAATATCCTTTATTCTTTAGATATTCCTTCTCTCAGTATAGAAACGGAATTATTTATTTGCAAAAATATATCCGTAAGAAATTCCAAATATTTTTTACCGATTTCTTGATCTACATGAAAGATTCTCTCGAAACGCGAGATCAATACTCCCGCATCAATGAACTAACGAATATGTAGTATCAGTGCTTCATAATTTAAAAAATACACGTGTCGCGCGTTTCTCTCAGCCATGACATATTCGCTCTCCGCGTTCATAAAATGGAGCATCGCACAAATACGCAAAAGTAATTTATGACTGGTGATTGTATCGAGACAATGATATATAAAGGTTTCAAGGATGGATTCACGGCGGCTGGAAAAAATATTCGCATATTCGATATTTTTTCTGTTCCTCTCTCCCGGGATACGGAGGAAAAAGATTGCCACATGTCCTTATATTGAACTATAATATTGAACGTACATAACAAGAAGCATGAAAACATATCTGAACGGAGATTTCTCGACGGAATTTTTTCTTCTCGTTTCCGCGTAAATCGATGACGAAAGGAACGGAATATGGGTGAGTCGTTGCAAATTTTATACGCAGAGATACGTCGCGCACATGGCGCGTGATTATCGGGCATTTTATCACTATCGCAATTGACGGTTTATTGATAATAGAACATTTCGTCGCGGACGCTACGCATCTCGGTTGCATCGCTGAACCAGCTAACAACTATTGATCAGCGTATTTTTCTGGGAACGCGTATCAATTCCAATGAAATGCGTGCTTTTTTGTGAATGCACTCGATGTTACACATTTATACGTATACGCTTCGCTCGCGTACTTGCCCGCGAAGCCTCTATTTTGCACGACAAATTTTGTTCGGCTGTATTTTCGCGAAACGGCTGTGTAACGGCTCTAAAAAAACAAAAAAAAAAAACAAAATCTATGTATTGGGTTGATCCATAAATTTGTGCGTATTTTTGTCTAATTGACATTCACATGTTGCTTGATCACATAAGTAAATATGTTATTATTATTTACCGCGCAAATAAATATCTTGTATTTTTTTTATATTTTTTAAGAGGATAGTTCCGTACGCAGTTGGCATAAAATTGTTGCGTAATTTCTGTCGTATTTCGTGCATTTATCTTCGACGCGTATAGTAAATTATTACTAGATTTATTTCTAAATTGCGCTGCTAGTTTAATTGCATACTAGCTTTATAAATTGTAGATAATAATGCCAACGTGTTGTTAATTAAATACATTTTTTTTCAAAATGATATCAGTTTTAATTTTGTTAGATAAAATAATACGACAGAAATTGTACAACAAAATCTATACAAGAAAAATATGATAGAAATTGTATAACAATGTTGTATGCATATGTTTTGTACATACTCTGATAGTTGACATTTCAGAGGATATTTGATGATAGTGCGTTTAAAGAAGCATAGTTATCTTCTTCCGACTTGAAAATAAAAAACAGTAACAAATTTTTCCGGTCTATTATGTTTTCTTTATTTCTGTAAAAATTACAAGAGTTTGGCTAGAAGTTTGGTCTCACGATATTCACCTGACATTGCCATTTCCAATTATCATCTATTTCGCTCATTACATCCCTCGACAGTATAAACTTCGCTTTTTTAGAAAATGTAAAAAATCACTTGGAACGTTTTTCTAGAAAAAGTACAAGAGTTTTACGAGAGGGGAATTATAAAATTATGCAAAAGATCGCCGAACAATATGGCGCATGTATTATTGATTAAAATTGTATTTAACAAGAACAAAATGCACTTGAGTTTTGTTTAAAAATCCGAACTTATGAATTGACCTAGTATTTTGCGATATCGACAAAAAGTTTGGATTGCCAACAAAGTCGCCAGAACATCCGACGCTTAACCGGAAGACTATTTCGTTTTTCGAGTTTGATCAACAACGCTGTTTTTTCGATTTTTTGCCGTTCTGCAAACAGGCAGTACGCTTTTAACCCCGTAAAAAAATACCATAAAATACCAGGAAATACTAGGAAATATACGCGGTGCATGTTGTTTCGCTGTGTTATAAATTATATATTGACAGATGAAATA